ATTCTCCAAGTGATGTATGCTTTTTCCTTCCTTCTTTTATCGTTGATTTTCAGTTTCATTCCATTATGATCAGATAGGATGCATGGTATTATCTCTACTCCTTTATATTGTCTGAGAGTTGCCCTGTGACATAATATATGATCTATTTTTGAGAAGGAACCATGTGCTGCTGAGAAAAAAGTGTAACTGCTTGATGTTGGGTGGTATATTCTATATATGTCAATTAAGTCTAGGTTATTAATTGTGTTATTGAGTTCTATAGTTTCCTTATTCAACTTTTGTTTGGAAGATCTGTCCAGTGGCGAGAGAGGTGTGTTGAAGTCTCCCATGATTATTGTATGGTGGTCTATTAGACTCTTGAACTTGAGAAGAGTTTGTTTGATGAACATAGCTGCACCATTGTTTGGGGCATATATATTTATGATTGTTATGTCTTGTTGGTGTATGGTTCCCTTAAGCAGTATGTAGTGTCCCTCTTTATCCCTTTTGATTAACTTTGGCTTGAAATCTATTTTATTTGATATGGGTATGGACACTCCTGCTTGTTTCCGAAGTCCATATGAGTGATATGAATTTTCCCAACCTTTCACCTTCAGCCTATGTATGTCTTTTCCTATCAAATGTGTCTCCTGTAGGCAGCATATTGTTGGGTCTTGTTTTGTGATCCATTCTACTAGCCTGTGTCTCTTGATTGGTGAGTTTAAGCCATTAACATTTAGGGTTATTATTGAGATATGGGTTGTTGTTCCAGCCATATTTGTTTATTTATGTTACTAAACATGGTTTGTTTTCCTCTTTGATTATCTCCCCCCCTTTACTGTCCTACCTCCCACTGTTGGTTTTCATTGTTATTTTCCATTTCCTCTTCCTGTAATGTTTTGCCGAGGATGTTTTGAAGAGATGGTTTTCTATCTGCATATTCTTTTAACTTTTGTTTGTCGTGGAAGGTTTTAATTTCATCTTCCATCCTGAAGCTTAATTTCGCTGGATACACAATTCTTGGTTGGAACCCATTTTCTTTCAGTGTTTGAAATATGTTATTCCAGGATCTTCTAGCTTTCAGAGTCTGTGTTGAAAGATCAGCTGTTATCCTGATTGGCTTACCCCTAAATGTAATCTGCTTCCTTTCTCTTGTAGCTTTTAAAATTCTCTCCTTATTCTGTATGTTGGGCATCTTCATTATAATGTGTCTAGGTGTGGATCTCTTATAATTTTGCACATTCGGCGTCCTGTAGGCTTCTAGAATTTGGGATTCTGTCTCATTCTTCAAGTCTGGGAAGTTTTCTCGTATTATTTCATTGAATAAATTGCTCATTCCTTTGGTATGGAGTTCTATACCTTCCTGTATCCCAATGACTCTTAAGTTTGGTCTCTTAATGTTATCCCATATTTCTTGGATGTTCTGCTCATGGTTTCTTAACAGTCTTGCTGAGCTGTCTATGTTCTTTTCAAGTTGAAATACTTTGTCTTCATTGTCTGATGTTCTATCTTCTAAGTGTTCTACTCTGCTGGTAGTATTCTCAATTGAGTTTTTAAGTTGGTTTATTGCTTCCTGCATTTCTAGGATTTCTGTTTGTTTGTTTTTTAAAACCTCTATCTCCCTGTATAGTTGATCCTTTGCTTCCTGGATTTGTTTGTGTAATTCCTTGTCAAAGTGATCTTTCATTGTCTGATTTTGCTGTCTAATGTCTTCCTTGATACTCCAGATCATCTGAAGCATATATATCCTGAATTCTTTATCTGACATTCCATCTGCTGCAGCTGTTACCTCTTCTAAAGTTGAGTTGACCTGCATTGCTTGTAGTCCTTTCTTTCCTTGTCTTTTCATACTGCTTGCGTTTCTTTCTTCTTGGTGAAACTGTTGTGTTTTTGAAATTTTTCCCCCCCTATATATTTATATTGCTCTTGTATAGTTGAAAAGTCTCCCTTGCAGGTGCGGGCGGGGGCTCTGCTCTGCCCCTCCTCCAATTGGTGTGAGGTGTCTACCATGCCCGCGGACCCCTGGGCCTGATCCGCCGTTCTGTTGCAGGTCTGCCTACCTTGCAGGTGGGGGCGAAGGCTCTGCCCTGCCCCTCCTACCACGCCCGGGGACCGCTAGGCCTGATCTGCAGGTTGGTCGCCGGTCTGCCCACCTTGCGGGCACGGGTGGCAGATCCGCTCCGCCCCCACTCCAATTGGGGTCACTTGACCACCACACAGGCGGGCCGCTGGGCCTGATCTGGGTGCGGGCGAAGGCTCTGCTCTGCCCCTACTCCAGTTGGGGTGAAGTGTGTACCACGCTTGCAGGCCTCTGGGCCTGATCTGCTGGTCTGTCGCAGGTCTGCTTACCTTGCTGGTGCGGGCGGCGGCTCTGCCCTGCCCCTCCTACCACGCCCGCAGACCGCTGGGCCTGGTCTGTAGGTTGGTCACAGGTCTGCCTACCTTGCGGGCGCGGGCAGCGGCCCTGCTCCTCCCCCTGGCTCGACGACAAAGCGAGAGAGACTTGGGTATCTGTGACTCACCCTCCCTACCAGGAGACCAACTGTTTCCATCGCCGCTGGCTCCGATGAAGTTCTCTCCTCGGCTGCTCTCCGATGACATCAGATCTCTGCCATGCTGGCATCCCCTGTTCTATGGCTGAATCCCATTTTCTTCTCTTCCAATAGGCGGAGCTGTGCCCTCTGAGCCGAGCTTCTGCCCTCTATGTGCTGACAGAAATCCCTGTAAGGTGGCTCCTGGGAGTCTCTCAATCCTGTTAGTCCAGAGCCCTTTCACTTATCCGGCCCCTCCCCCTGTTCCTCCTCCCAGCCAGCCAGCCAGGTCCTGTTCACCGGAGGCGGTTCCCCAAGGATCTGATTACACTTGCAGCCCCACCGCGTGTCCTATATCCCGAACAATGAACACCCTCTCTGTCATTCATCTAAGCCCCAGTGCTGTGGTGGGGTGATCTGGGAACCAACAGTTTAATTTTTCCGGACCCCTTTGGTGGGCACACCCCCAGAAACTGGCGGCTAAGATCTTGGGTGTCGCCGCTGGTGTTAAGGGGAGGTGGGGATCTGGAATCCCCTTTGCTTCCCTACAGACACGCCCCCGGAGAGATTCCCGAGGTTTCCTGGCTGCTTGTATCTGGAGGGGGTGGGAGTCACACACCTGCTAATGTGGATTCCGCTGGGAAGGAATTCTGCCGGCGGAACTCTGGTGATGTCACCTCTCTGCTATGGCGGGCCCCAGGCTCCTTGCAGGAGTGTCCGAAGGGAGGGGTGGGACTGGTCTGTCTCTGGTTGGTATCAGCTCCTGGTTCGCTATTTCATGAAGGCTTGGCGAGAGACCTCTTCCTAGAGTCCCTGCACTGCTCCTGCTGCGCTGCGCCTCGGAGGCTATCCGCCCTGACGCGGGGGCCGCGTGCAGGCAGCCGACAGTCGCCGAGTCACCCGGGCAGCGGCTGGCGGGTCTGGACCTCTGCGCTGCGTGGCGGAGATTCACTCATCTAGGGCAAACTGTCACCTCCAAAAATCCTACCAATTCCCGGCCGGTCTCTCTTTAGTGGAATTTTGCTAGGAGTTTCTCAGCAGGTCGAATCTAAGGGTATCCATGCATCTCTCTGACCCCGTTGTTGAGGAGGTACTGAAAGCGCTGCCTCCCCACTCGCCGCCATGTTGGATCCTATTTGTGATCTTTAATAAAATGATTTAGAGGTTCTCTATGTGGATCTTCTTTTTAAGTCAGAGAGCATGAAATAAAAATTTTCAAGTTTTTATTTAAAAGGAGAGAAACTACATATTCTATATTTAAGGTTTGCCACTAATTATGGGTCAGTTTGTTCATTAACTAATCTAACAAACTTAGTTAACATCTTCTGTACCCCAGTTTTTCAAGCTGATTGTACAATCATGGATGCATATGTTTACTAATAGTGTATTGAACTTGAGTTTTGGAGCACAAGGTCTTTTATTTTTGTGATTATTATCATACGTGTATCAATAAATGATTAATATAAAATGTATTTTTATATCATATGTTTGTAAAAATCTAGGGTGCAGTAGAGAAGACATTGCTATCCCATAAGGACTGTTTTAAATGTTAAATAAAAAGGAAGAAATATTAGGAAACTCTTCCATTTCAACAATAGATGCTACTAATCAGAATAGTTGTTACTTCTGTGCAGTAATGAAATGAAACTATAGAAATTGCTACATCCTAAATAACTAGAATTTAATTGTGTTGATTGAAAGCAGTTGGCTGAAAGAGTATGTTATTAAATCAGAAAGGTAATATAAATTATGATGCGGAGTAACATTGTTAATATATAACTGTGATTGTCAAATTTTCAGTTTTTAAGCCCTCCATTTTCACTATTACTGAGCAAGTTTTCCAATTATAGAAGTTATATTTGTTTGCATACAGATTTAACAGGCGATGCATACTTTATTGTTATATAGAGGAATATTTTCTTTCAGAAAATTTATGAAAAACAATTTGCTTTAAAATTGCTTTAGATTATGAGTAGTTGAGATATTCCTAAAGTAATTATGAAAATAGAAACTCTACTTGAAGTTTTAAATATATTATTGCTTTTGCTAAGAGCAAACTATATCCCTTCTTTATATTCCATGAAGATATGATTCTCCCATTGACTTTACCATCCAGGGATCTCTAAGATACTGTTAACCACAGATCATAGACTTTTATGTGGTATAATGTGATGTCTAGGGCAATAAAATATGAAATAAGTGGACTTGGTACAAAATCAGGGATTGAACTAATAAATTATTATATTGTTGTTTTATGTATTTTATTTTTGAACTTGAATTTGGTAATGGATAATTTCATATTTCATTTTTCTATGTGGGGGACCAAAAGAGACCAAATAGCTTTACACAAATTGAGTTGTTAATAAATGTTAATTTCAACATACAGTATTTTTTTCTTATATGAATTTTCTAAACATTTTCACAACATAAACATGGCTTATATTGTGTAATTAATAATGTTACTCACCCCAGTTTTCTTGAATTCTGTAGGTTACAACCATTACATTTCAATATTTGCCAGGTTGTAGTCTCTCCACATTGTCGGAGTGTACAAATCTTCAATTTCTATCCCTTCGATGCTGTGGATTAACTTCTTTACACGGCCTGAATAACTGCAAAAAACTTAAGTACATTGATGTACAGGTATGTCCCCTGTTTTAATAGTTATTTTATGATAAAATATAAAATGGGTTTATGTTCACATTTCAGAAGTAACTTGAAGAAATGATTACTAAAATAGCCTGTAACAGATCTAGAGAGATCAAGGATCTATGTTTGTAAGGATAAGAGAAAGATGATTAGGTGGTACATCCTGGAAATTACTTTTCTCTTTATTTTTGCAGATGATACAGGGGTTTTGTTTGGTTGTTTGCTTGTTTTTTGCTGCATAACAAAGGACTACTTGCGTAGCTGAAAACAACAGTCATCTTATTTTCTTATTCAATAGGTCATGAATTGAGACCAGGGATGGCTGGAAATTTCTTCCATTTTATATTGCATTGACTTGGACTCATGTAATTGTGGTCAGATGCAAGTTAGGTGGTGACTGTTTAAAATTCCTTCTCTTTAATGTGTGATGCCTTGACAGGGATGTCTGGGAAGTTGGAATCTCTCATAGTTATTTTGGGCTTCTTTTTAGAGTGCTTAGATCTGCTTGCCTCATGATGGCTAATGTTTTATTGTGGAAGCGATATGTTCATGTGGGAGGAGAGTGTATGAATCTATGAATACTGGAGTTATCAAAGTAACTATCACATTTACCTTCTGACTACTAATGATTCACCTCCTCTCACATGCAAAATACATTCATGTCCATCATTGTATCAATCTGTGTCATCTGACCCAGGCTTGAAGCACAGGATTTTCTTATCTAAACCAGATCCAATTAGAGATGAAATTCCTCAGGTGCAATTCCTTGGGTGGTGCATCCACTGAGGTGTAGTTCTTTCCTGAGAGATCTGCAAAATAAAATGAAAAGTTATCTACTTCCATTCAAACCCATATAAATGGTGAAGCAGTGCTTGCGTGACTACAATAGCCATTCCCATGCACATCAGCAGAAACAGCAATGATAAAATATTCTCTCTTGTTCATTTAGGTTGTTCAAAATATTTTCCTCTGTATTTTCAACATTTTAAAAAGAATATTAATAAATAAATTCAAATTATTTGATTATTAGATTACTTAATATTTTCATCTAGATAGTAAAATAGTTTATAATTATCTCAGCAATTTGAGATTCATGTATTCATTTAGAGATTGAGTCTCATCCTTCCTCTTTTTGCAAGCTTTAAATATTTAATTAATGAGCCATTGAAACAAAATTTATTAAATTTGTTCTTTCTTTAAGGAAAACCATATTGAGACTATCAACTGTGAAAATTTGGAAAATCTCTGTGTTGTTCTTCTTAATAAAAATCAACTGAGTTCCTTTCATGGTTTGGATGGCTGCACTAATATTCAGAATCTTGAACTTTCGCATAATAAAATCACTCGAATTGGTAAGAAAAATGGAATTTTAATACTTATTCAACATTTAAACTTTTATTCATTGTGATTATATTTTGTTTCACTCCTTTTTTAAGAACAGGCTACCATTACCAATTTATATGTTTTATTATGGTAACTTATTTATTCTTATTTAATTTAGATTAGAAAAATAAAATTGTTTTTAATGTATATAAAAGAATATATTCTATCTCTAGCAAATGAGTGACTAGTCTGTTAGCATATTTCCTTCTCTGTTTCTTTTCGTATAGGAACATTCCTTTAGTAGTGATCTTAGCTTCACTAGAGCATATAAACACCAATTGGTGCTATGATATTTTTTATGAATCCTGTGCTTTCCCACTTCTCAGAAATTGTTATAACTGTTTCCTGGTAAACACTTTATCACTACTCTCCTTGATTGCACACATTACTTGTACTGAACTTTCCCTCTTTAGCTAAAACTGCTCATACCATAGGAAAGAATTCATCTAATTGAATGTGCCTAAACTTCTGAGTCCCTCCACCACTATATCTTTATAATTATTTATCTTTTCCTTCCTACATCTTCTAATCCATGTAACTCAGCAACTAAAACATCTTTTTAAATATAAGATCAGTACTTCTATTTTCTACAACTATTCCTTTCACTCCCATCTGGGACCTTAGTTCATCATTTATTACCTTCATTGTCAAATTATTTCTATTGCTGTGCCTCATCTTTCTCTTTGTTGTCAGGAGTTATGGTGGTGGTTTCATCTCTTACCACCCAAAATTCCTTCATCTACCCACTGAAATTCAACTTCAGCTTACTTATACATTGTTTCCAGTGTAATAATTCTAAAATAAAAATCTTATTGTGTTATTCACTACCTTGTTTAAAATCTCTTGTTAATTTTTATTGTTTAATGTCTTGGTATATTCTCAAGGGCTTTTGTAGGGGCTTGATAATGGTTAATGAAGAATCAAAGATTGACAAAATGTCAAAACTTGATAAAAATCTTTATCTTAATAACAATACAAACAATACAAATAGCTTACATTTTGGGGGGACCTAAAAGGAACCATCCAATTCCCCTCCTTCATACAACCAATAGGAATTTGATCAAGACTAAAATATTAAGGAATATGATGGGATCATATTGGGGAATAGAAATAAACACACTGTATCTTGATTCTTTTTCTCTGTAGGGCATCTTGATATTACTTTTGTTTGTTTGCTTTTATTTATGTCTTTCTTTATGACTGTGGAAAATTTTAAACATTTATTAAAGTAGAATAATACACGGACATTCTGTCTAACTATTACTTATATTCAATGTTTGCTTCACCTTTATGTTTTAATTTTTTAAAAAAACTAATTCCCAGAATCATGTATTTACATACCCTCATATTTCAGAAAATAGTTTTTAATAATATGGTCTGTTGTTACTTAATACAATACATTATGACACCTAATAAAATTGAATGATTCCGTGTATAAATCAATAATTAATAATCCAATTTTGCTATTTTTCTAAAGTACCTAGTTTATTTGAATAATAATGTGAACAATAACCACGATATTGCTTTTATATATGCCTTTGAACTCTCTTAATTTGTAGCAATCATACTGCTTCTTTTTTCCAATCCATTGATTTTTTGCATAGCCTGCATTTTCTTATAGAATGTTTTGTATTTTGCCTTAGTACATTTACTTACTTTTAGTATCAAAATTGTTTCACTATGCCCTGTATTTCCTGTAATGAAGTCCCTAGCTCAAAAGAGCTGGTTAAATAAAAATTTGGCTACTTTTGCAGGAGTCCTTCTTAGGTAGTTTTCTGTGCTTCATATCTCATTAGATCAGCAGTCATACAGTGTTTGTTTACCTTATTGATGCTTATGATTGAACATGGGGCGTAACTGATAATAACTCATATTCTTCAATATAAAGTCCCCCATCAACCTTCCTTCTAAAGCTTTCATTCATTGATTAATATGAATAAATTAATGTGATAGGGGATATAGAAAGTGAGTTTTCTAATTTCATCATTTCCTCCAGAATTTTTAAGCAGAGATTCTTTAATTAGTTAGAACTTTGTGGAAATTGTTACTAGAGGAAAGGTTTAGATAAATGGAAATTATCTATTAATTAAGCAATTAGATAAGATTTTTGAATCTCAAAAGTGTAAAATCCTATCCTCCTTCTCCATCCTATAGTCATTAGGAAGTCTGATCAGATTAAATATCAGGGAGTGGGATGGGATTATATTGAGGAAGAGAAGCAATCCATGAATCTGTTTCTATCAATTTGCATTGACAAATTTTTAGAGTAAGATCTTAGTGGCTCTATTTACTTCCAGGGGTGTTAATTTTAGTTTTGTTTCTTTAACTTTGTCCCCCACCCCACCACATTATTCTTATGAAATCCAATTTTTGGTTCAAAATATTTCAGCTAATTATCTGATTATTCTTTATGGTATTGTAATTGTCCTGTGCAGTGAATTCAAATTGGACATACAAAACTGATATCTAATTCAAATTAACTTTTTAAACTTTATTGTAGTTCTCTCTCTCTTATACTGTAATCCTTGGTTTATGGCAACAAATTAACCATTTGCTATGTCTTATCCATAAAATAGCTTCAAGACAACAATGCCAATGTAATAATAGTAAAAATTACTAAATTAATTCTAAGCTTTCTTTGCATTTGTTTTTGTCCTCACACTATGTCCCCCAAGGAGATGTGATTAAATATCATTTGAAGTCTTTTAATTCATGATTTTGTTATGAATTTGATATTTAAAATTAGCTTGCTTTTCCCATTTGTTAAAAAGGCATACTCAAAGTGATTATGTCTGTGTCCTCTTCATTCTGTTCTCCCATTTTCTTTTATTTGTGGATATTTTGTATATTTCATATTGCATATATTTACCCTTTAACATGTATATCTTTGCATATATAACATTTGTGTATGATACATATTATATTACCCATATCTAAGAAAACATGGATTGTGCTCATAGTTCACAATATATGGCATATTTTGAATACTGTTTTCTGGTGTGTGTGTGTGTGTGTGTGTGTGTGTGTGTGTGTGTGTGTTTTCACTTAACAACTTATTATAGTGTTTCTAATACTTTTTCCATGGCTGCATACTATTTAATCATGTGCATGGACTGGATTTATTCCATTGGTACATTGATGAATGAATATTGGATGTTTTCCATCTACATTGCCACTGTGAATATCCCGACCCATAATTTTATACTTGATTAGATATATCTTCAAGTTAATTTGCTATAATTTGTATTATTGAGCCAAGGATATCTGTAATTTATGAAAATAATGCCAGAGTTCCTTACTATATGTAGCACCATTTTGTATTTCTATCACTAATATTTATAATATCAGCTTTTTCTCTTCTTCTTTTTACCTATTGTTTTTTCCTATTTCTTTGAGTTAAGTATTTAATTCAGTTATTTTTATCATTTTTCAAGCTTGTTGACATGCATGCTTAAATCTATAAATTTTTCTGTAAGCAATACTTAGTCTATAACTTTTGATATGTACATATTTTCATCAGTTCTCTAATGTCTAATGTTCATTAGTTCTCTAATGTTCTCTAAGGTTTAAATTAGAAATGCACATTTTCGAAAATAAATTTTTTTAATACTCTGTAATGTGTTCATTTACTTATGTTTCTGTGCCACCTGCTTTGGTACCACTCATGATTTCTCCCAAATAGAAATAGTAATACTTTTTATAAAATTTTTTATGTTAAAATCTTTGTGTAAAATACATATAAAAATAATTTTGTTTTTGGAATGAGTATAAGTGCATTGATCATATATGTTACTATATTGGATCACACTAAAACAAACTTTTAAAAAAAGAAAAAGGCTCTTTGCCAGGCACGATGGCATATGCCTTTAATCCCAGCAGCTCAGGAGGCTGAGGCAGAAGGATCCTGAGTTCAAAGCCATCCTCAGCAACTTAGCAAGGCCCTAAGCAATTCAGTGAGATCCTGTTTCTAAAAAAAATATTTGAAAAAGGACTAGGGATGTGGCTCAGTGGTTAAGTAATGCTGGGTTTAAACCCCTGTACAAAAAGTAAAATAAAATAAAAATGAGAAAAGAAAAAATAGAGGCTCTTTGTAAGGAAAAAAAGAGAAAAAGAAAAAGGTGTCAATTCCCATGTTCATTTGCTAGCACCCCTATATAGGAATTTTTTTAAGTAGTGGATTTCCTGGGATAGGATATCTACAATATATATATGTGAAAACTGCCATGGTAGTAATTGATGTACCTGAGGTAGCTGTGTGTAGTACAAAGCAAATAAGTTAACAGACTTCTTTGCAGTCTATTGAGTATAGTGAAAACTGTATTTACTGAATGTTGGGAAAAACAAACATGAGAAAGTGGATTTTCTGAAGACCAGTTGAAGTCCGTTTTTCATTTTTAGGAAACGCTTAGAGATTCTGATTGAGTGAAAAGCACAGATTTTGTATTGATGTATTTTGTAGTGATGTATTGATGCTAAGAACTATCATAAAGGGGCACAAGGATAGGTATGTATTTATAAGTTAATAAGTTATTATCCCATGCTGTATTTCTTTGGGAGGTAAAATAAAATTACAGGCAATACTATTTTACACTTGTTGAGAATTTGTTAACTCTTACTAAATTACAATTGTTGCTTTAGTTAATGTGTAGCATTATCTTTAATTGCTCTTTAAAGGATATTTTTATTTAATTGATTTTCTTTGAATTTATGATAATAGGAATAGTTACATTTAATTGCTTTAAGGCAGTTCATTTTAAATCAGAAATAAGTAGAAATTAGACTATGTAGTTGTAGAATACAATGTAATTTTTTTCCTTATTAATCTCAAATAAGAAACTTTCTTTTTTATAAAACTAAAGGTTTAAATTTTATTTCTATAAATTAAAAGTTACCAATTTGCTGTTATTACTTAATATTTAAAACAAAGGAATTCAATTCCTTTGAAAAGGGATTATTAGTCATAATTGAA